AAAAATTTCTATAAAATAGTTTAATTATTAGATTTTGAAACAAAATTTGATACTTGTGATGATTTACTATCATTCATGGTGTCTTCTTTTGATATTTTTAGGGATCTAAGGTGATTTAGTATCACTCATGGTACAACTTAAAATATGTTAAGAGTTTTATTATTTTTATTATTTTTTAATAATGCACAAGAGAAGGAAAAATTAATCAGTATTGGAACCTGTGATGATTTAATATCATTCACAGTCCACTAGTTGATGCTCTAAGTGCACATGGTGATTTAATATCACTCATGGCAAACCCTAAAGGAATTTTTAAAATGACCAAAATAATTTAATTTTGAAAACTACAAACTTTGATACCTGCGATGACTTAGTGTCATTCATGATATCTTATTTGATATTTCTATTGATCCACAATGATTTAGTATCACTCGTAGATCTTAAAAAACATGCCAATAAATTTTAATATATTTAAAATTTTTTGACATTTGATATTTGCGGTGGTTTAATATCACTCACATCATCAATGCATCAAATACCCATGGTAATTTAGTATCACTCATGGTTATCCCATTTTTTAGGAGGGAGAAAGATTAGAAGAATATGTTATCAAGAAGGCTATGTAATAAGTTGTAATAATGTTATTCTCACAACTCTTATAAAAAAGAAAAAAGAAAAAGGAAGAATCAATGTCAAGTTAGGTTTTAACATCTTCTCATATATAAATTGATGATTATAAAAGTCTAGGTGCCGTGCCATTTTAGGACAAACTCACAGTGAAAGATCCATGGTGATTTAAATTAATAAACAAACAAAAGAAGAGAAAAACAATAAACAATGAAGAGTCATTTTGAAGCAAAGCCAAAAACGTGTACAAGGAATTTAGGCCTCAGAATACTAGATGCTAATACTAGGTGAAAAGCAAATATGTGAAATTCAAGCATAAGATGCCCACAAATCATTAGTTATACGTGCATAGAGGAAAGGTTTCAATAGGATTTAGATATTGACTCAAGAAGGTTTAGTTTTTTCCCATTCAACACGCAAAGCTAGAGAAATAACAAAAAGAAACACTCACCTTCAAAACTTTGCCAATGCTTTTTGCCATCTCCTCCCAGAGTTTCTTTCTCAATTTCTTCTCCTCAATTTTCATCCCCTCCTTTCTCTTTCCTATCTCTTTTATAGGTACTAACTAGAATTTTCTCACTTAATAACAAAATCAAGCAAAATAAAGCAATTTTTTATTTTGACTTTTCTACAAAATTTTAGATTTCAAATTTACATTAAAGGCAATTAATTTGATAGCAACAAAAATGAGGGGATTTGAGAGTCAATAAAAAAGAAAAAAATATTTTTAAATTATGCAGATATTATTTTATTTTTAATTGTTTTTCATAAAACCCTATTTTCCTCTTTTTTAGCTTACTTAATATTATTGGGCTTTTATTTCTAGTTTATATATAGAAACCTGTACAAAATACGGTGTTCACACTCTTCACATAAAATCATACTAATTATTTATAAATCACAAACATTGATGAAATAAGAATCCAATGATGCGAGACAAAAGGCAACAAGTTGATAGTTGGAATTAATTAGAATCCTAACTTTTGTGTATAGAGTAAATTTATTAGTTTGCTTAAAAAAAAAGAAAACTATTTTTTGAAAATTTCTCTTACTTATTTTCCCCCCACTTTTTCCTCTACCCAAACCAAATCTAAAATTTGATGAGAGGTGTGAGGAGCTATGATTGGGCAAGCGAATTGGGGAATTAAAAGAGGTGTTGTGAATGTGAATTGTGTTGGGGTTCGGCAGAGTTCGTAGGAACGTCGAATGAGACTTTAGGTACTAGAGCCAAGGATTTGTGTAGAGATGATAATTCAGGTGAAGCAGGCTCAAGTTAGGTATGGATTATTTTGATTGGATTTAAAATATTTTGACATATAAAAAAATTTATATAATCATGCTTGGTCCTAGCTCCTCAAGTTTTTGGGCTTTTTTGGATTGATCGAAATACACAAATTGTTAACAAGTATAAATTATAAATTGATTTGTGGTTCTTTTTGTAAGCCGCACTTTGCATTGAAAAGATAGACTATACATTGATTTCTTTAAATGCTATTCTTTTATAATTTTCTATAAATATGGTAAGAGATTATACATAAGAGAGAAAATATTTCTTAAAATAATGCATTTAACAAAAATAAATTTAAAAATTTCTCTTAATGAATTTCAATGAAGACTAACTGGGAGATACTCTTGGTTTAAAACAAAAAGCAAAAAAACAAAACAAAACAAGACAAAGACAAAGACAAAAAGTAACGAGACACCACAAGGAACGCACCTTAAGTGGCGTGGGAGTACGTGGCAACGATGAATCGTGGTTTTCGTGTGTCCATGCGCAGAGATATTTTTGTATTCAGACTTAGTTTTGGCTCTGAAGCGTCTGTGTACTGCAAACTCTACAATTCAAATTCAATTTCCGATACTTCCAGTGAACCGAGTTCCAATGATGGCAGAGCCCCAAAAAACGACGACGAACACGACGATGACGAAGAGTCACATCTTGATGCTTAACAAATTGTTGGATTGCCGCGAATCCTGAAGACTTAACAGCTCGTTTTATTGATGAAAGGTGGAAATTAAATACTGTATGTAGAGTTGATAATATGAGCTGAATCTATCTTCACACTTAACACACATTGTTGGATATTGTGAAATCGTGAGACTTAATTACTCATTTTGTTAAGGAAAGGTGGAAATATAAATAGTATAATTAATTATTTTTCATTATATTCCCTTCATTTTTTATTATTAGAGAAACTATTACTTTTAATTTATATTTTTTTATAAGTAAAATCACTCATTTCAATAATTATTTATTACATATTTTTTAAATCATCCTTCATAATTTACATTAATGAGAAACAATTAATGTATGGTTATGTTGATTAATACTGGGCATTTTAGTTCACTTTTTTTTTATTTTCAAATATAAATATTATAATTAACTAACTTTTTCAAATTTGTTATTTAGTTTTTTTCTCTTATATATAGAAATGGAGGAAGTAAGATGGAGCCTTCACATTCTAGAGAAGAGTTTGGCTTTTTGAGCTTTAAAAATCTCACTTCTAAAGCATGTAATTTGTATCATTATAATACTTGAGTGATGTAGATTTTAAGAGTTACTAATTTTGTTGTGATTGGTGGATTAATTTTGTTTTGAGTTGTTTAATTTTATAGACTTTATCCTTTGTGAAATACTTTTTTTAATTAAAAATATGTGTATTAAGTATTAAAATTTAAAAATATATTTATTTTTGGGCTTTTCGGCTCTACTCTTGTAAGGCATGATCCTAATTAATTCCCAACTCTATCGAGAAAAGGGTTTGTAAGTACGAATTGAAGGCTAAACTAAAAGTTAATTTTATTTTGTTAATAAATAAAAAAATTGGGTGTTTGGGCTAATTAAGCTCGAATCTAAATGAAAATCTAAACTTTTTTCACGTTTATTTGAGTTGCATAAATAAGATTGAATTAAAGAAAAAAATATAAATTAATGGAGGCTCACTCTAAAATTTTTTAAACTTATTTGGGTTGGCATATCGAGCTTGGCCTGAATTATCAATTCTAATTCTATATATAAGTAATTTTTTTTAAAAAAATTTGTAATATAAGTTACTTTGCATTGAAAAGATGAAGAGTAAATGTGTAATTTTGCCCTTGAAATATTCTTCATGAAACACTTAATGCCCCTAAAATATTTGTTGTAGTATTTTCACTCTCAAAGTGATTAAATTATAGCATTTCTTGACATTGTCATTAAATCCCTACAAACGTTTGTTATAGCAAAGCATTATGTGACATGTGGCTCACATGATATTATTTAACGGACGTTCGTGGAGATTTAACGTCAAGGTAGATAATGCTCTAATTTATTTATTTAATAGGCAAAAATGCTATGACAAATATTTTAGGATACTGAATGCTTTTTGAAAAATATTTGAGAGACAAAAATATACCTTTACCCAAAGATAAATTATTAATTGATTTCTTTTTAATTTTACCTTTTTATAATTTTCTATAAATATAGTAGGAGATTATATATGATGACGAAAAATATTTCTAAAAAAATCATTTAATGAGAATAAATTAAAAAGCTTCTTTATCTTCTAAACTTAACTCTCTCTCTCTCTCTAGTCAAATAGCTAGAAGTTACTTGTACCCATGTTGGATCCAAGAAAGATTTCAGGCATCCATATTTTTAATCTAGATGGTCCAAATTTTTTTAATTTTAATTTTAATTTTATAAAAATAAAATTTACAAAATTTTTTGATAAATATATTTATCATCAATCTGGATAGTATTGATTGAATTTGGATGGTTTAATTTAATGTTATAATTTTCTTAAATTGATTATCTAAATGTATTCTGAGCGATCTAGATTCAATATTAAATTTTTATTTGCAAGGTCTACATTAAAAGTTTTTATTTTTAATTTTATTTTATATTTGTTAAAATAAAAAAATATTAAAAATTTAATATTAAATCTATTTTGTTTAGAGTATATTTAGATAGTTAGTTTATGAAAATTATACTATTAAATTGAACTACCCAGAATCTCAAATTGAATCAATACTATCTAGATTGATGATGAATGTATTTATAAAAAAAATATAAATTTTATTTTTATAAAATTAAAATTAAAAAAATTTAGGCCACCCATATTTTTAAATTAAAATTAAAATTAAAATTGAAAAAATTTGAACCATCCAAATAAAAAATCAAGACCATACAGATTAAAAATTGAGATGGCACAGATCTTTTTTTGGTGATGAGCACGCACCAAAACCGGATTCTACTCATGCCATGGTCCCCAACAATCGAGATGAGAGATACTCTAAGAAATTTTTTTTTCAAAAACCTACTAAAAGGAGCGTCTAATTGTCAAGGTTTTAGCTTATAATTTATAATATTGCGGGATCAAATTCTCGGACCCAATTCACTTAAAGCTTTTGGTCATTCAAAAGGCAACGAGATAGCATGCACAGGGAACGCACTTTAAATGGCGGGTGGTGTGCGAGGCAATGAATCGTGGTTCGTCTGTTCATGCGCACAGATATTTATTCAAACTTCGTTTTTGTTGAAGCGTCTTCTGTAAACTCTTTCCCATACCCCCACTGAACCGAGTTCCTATAATGGCAGAGCCTAAGCAAACGAAGAAGAAGAAGACGACGACGACGACAGATCACATCGTGATGCTTCCTTTCATGGCGCATGGCCACCTCATTCCCTTCCTCTCACTCGCAAATCTCATCCATGAAAGATCCAACCACACCGTCGTCGTCACAATCGCCTCCACTCCACACAACATCCAGTTCCTTAAATCCACCATTTCCGAAGATGCCGTCGTCAACACCGATGATGAGAGCGATCGGCGATATCGCAAATTACGTTTCGCCGAGCTCGCGTTCAGTTCCGTCGACCAAAGCCTGCCGCCGGATGTGGAGAACACAGAGAAGTTGCCTCCGTCGGAGATCCCCAAACTTACTGTCGCATCTCCGAGCCTTGAAGGTCCTCTTCGACGTCTGATCTCTGAGATCAGAGAAGAAGGAGACGAAGTTTTGTGTATCGTATCGGATGTGTTCTTCGGGTGGGTCACTGAAGTTGCAAAGAGCGTAGGCACGAGAAACGTGACGTTCAGTACGGCTGGTGCGTATGGGATTCTGGCTTATATCTCTGTATGGTGCAATCTTCCTCACAAGAAAACTGGTAACAACTTCATTTATCTTCAGTTTAATTTCAATTATATGATCTTAAATATTGTGGCCTAAGCTGAATCCAAATATTTTTCTGCAAATATGTATTGTAAATTACTTTCTTTATTATAAGATAACTACATCATTATTAAAAAAAACATGAAACCTTATTCTTTTAAAATTTTTTACATTTTTTCAATTATATTCTCCTTATATATCTCATATAAGTTTATTTTAATAACAATTGAATTTTAGTGTATCAATTTTTTAATAAAGAATAATAAATGAAATAAGAGTATAGTTATAAAAATAATTATAAAAATTACATAATACCGGATCAAATACGACTTTCAAAGGATGTTTTATATTGTGGTTTGAAGGAAGTATATATATGTCTGTATGTATGTATTTTATTTTTTTAAAAAAGGTAGAAAAGTACCTTTTTTTTGAGAAAAATGAAAAAAAATAAAGAGAATTGTAACTGTATAGTTAAAAATGTGTGTGTGAAAAGGAAAGAAAAGCCTAATTGTTAGTTGTCCTACAGGCAATACCACCTATGACTATAAGATCCTAGGTCAAGCCCTGCATTAACAATGTGGTTGTTGTGTGAGTTGTTTATATTGACTACTTAAAAAAAAAAAGAAAAAAAGAAAAGACAAACAAAAGAAAAGCTAAGGAAAGAACATATCTAAAATATAAACTATTATATACATAATTTATGAAGGGCTTGGAACATATATTACTCTGTCTTTATTATTCGATCCCCTAGTCCCTAGACGTCCTCTTCCCTCAATTTTTCCCTTAGAAGATGTTGGTTTGTTTAAAAACAAAAAAACAAAAGAAAAAGAGATGATAAAGGGACGAATAGTGGATCGCACTTATAAAGTACGTATTGATATTAATGATTTCTTTTTCTTTTTAAATTGTTCAAAAATGTATACCTAACATGTTTATCTTACCATTTACTAGAATGTGAAACCTGATTATATGGAGTACAAGGGAAGACATATTGTTTTTATAATGAATACCGTTCGTGAAATCGGTCCTCAATTAAGCTCAATGGGTTTAAGCTTGCCATACTTAAATACTATAATCCAAATAAGGCCTCACTATGCTCTTGAAAACTCAAAAAGATTAAGCTTACCATGCTTATTAAAGATTGTAATCCAGGCAACGTTTCACTTGCCAAATGCACTGGGCTAGGGCCATGTTAGATATCAATGTTTAAACACTAAAAATTAATCTCTTGATATGTACTGAGCTAGGGCCAAGTTAGGATACCGATATTTAAATACTAAAGATCAAACTCATGGAACTTTAATGCAAGAACTTAACCTGTAATGGATCATGATAAGCTTTCTGATGCATAAGCTTCTCTTAAAAAGAGTCAAGTGTAGAGCACAGTTCATTCTCCATGGACAAAAGTAAAATATTAGTAATACAAGCTTTTTTAGGAGAATATATAGATCGAAGAAAGTTAGAAAGAACTCATGGAGAAAACATTCTTCATTTTATTAAAAAAAAAAAAACTGCTTCATTTCATAAGAGGGAGGATATCTCACAAAATTGTTCCTCCATATGTGCAAGTGAAGGAGGATTTATAGACTTCTCCCCCTCCTTCCATCCAAAGTACAAGTTTCAATACAAACACTACAAGACAAAGTGCTTCTTCCAACACTCTTCACATGCATAAATAAGCCATGACTTCAAGTTACAAGAGAATAAAGCTAAAGTAGATGAGGACGAATTCCAATTAACATGACAGTAAAAGACAAACTCCAAATTTCAGCACACTAAAAAGAAAATTCCATGCAAACTTTGCCATTGCCATGCATTCATAGGACGGGCAGAGTAGCTATTTGAACATCATGTTGATGATGGAATTATCTCATAATTATTGATCCATTATAGGGGCGTTAATTAAAAGAGTTTGTCTATAGGAAGTTTCCTCAGAATTTGTATGACAGAGGTTTTACCTGACCTTTTTGCCATAATTTACAAAGCATCCTTAATGGAGTGAGGGAATGAAGGTCTAATGAGTGATTTTACAGCTAATAAATAATATGATGGTGTAGTATAGACATAATAGCATGAGGATCTTGATCTGCACCAACTATTTTTGAACTTGTACTTTCAACCTGTAGAGGGTTGCGTTAGATAACTTCATGTTGAAGTCTAGAGCAATAGTGAGGATCATACTCTTATTACTAGTAGTCAGTAGTGTCTCGATTACAACATTATTGTAAGTTGTGTAATTGGTAGCTAAAAAGAAATTCTAGAAGTTGCTAGAATTCCCTTTCTTCCATATGAAAAGTCTAGATGAGATGGACAACCTTAATATGTAAATAGGTATATCCTTATTGTTGTCAAAAATTTATTAGAGACTGAGAAATTTCAAGAGTAACATATTATTCCACAAAGGTTTCTTGAACACATTGGTCAAGCTTAAAAGTTTAAATAACTTTTTTAGCCTAGGGTCTTATGGTAGAAATCAAAGATTGAATGCCTCTAGCAAAATAATCAAGTTGATGATAGAGATTGTATGGGCAGAGAAGAGTAAGATTGGTGTCTTGAATTTGAGCATATTCAAGATGTGAAATCTTGACTAAATTTTCAATTTTGTTGCAATGATTTTTTTGACTGAAGAAAGAATTTGGTCAAGAGAAAGGGAGGAAGAAAGTCTAACTGGGTTAGAAGCAATAGGTAAGGTGGTAAATGTTTCACTTATAAGTATAGGATTTCCTCCTTACTTGCAAGCATTACTAATTTTTTCCTTTTGTCATTGCAAACGTTTGGCTCTGATACCATTCATGATATTGGTCCTTAATTTAGCTGAATAGCTTTAAGCTTTTGATATTTAAATAGTATAATCCAAATAAGGCCTTACTATGCTCCTATAAACTCAAAAAGATTAAGCTCACCATGCCTAAAGATTATAATCCAGGTAAGGCCTCACTTGCTAAATGCACTGAGCGAGGGTCACGTTAGGATATAAATATTCAAACACACCAAAGATTAATTCCTTGATATGAATTAAGCTAGGGCCAAGTAAGGATAACAATATTTAAATACAAAAGATTAAACTCATTGAACATAATGCAAGAACTTGATCCATTATGGATTATGATTAGATTCTTTATGATGCACAAGTTTCTCTTAAAAGAGTCAAGTACAGAGTATAATTGAATCTCTGTTAATAAAAGTAAAATATTAGCAATACAAGCTTTTAAGAGAATAGAAGAAAGTTAGAAAGAACCCATGGAGAAAACACATTTCATTTCATAAGAAAAAGGATATCTTGCAAGTTTGTTTCTCCATATGTATAAGTGAAGGAGGATTTATAGACCTCTTCCCTTCCTTCTATAAAAAGTACAAGTTTCGATATAAACAATACAACACAGTGCTTCTTCTAACACTCTCCACATGAACACATAAGTCAAGACTTCAAGTTACAAGAGAATTAAGCTAAAATATGTGAGGATAAATTTCAATTCACAAGACACTAAAACACAAAATCTCAATTTCAACAGACTTAAAAGCAAACTCCTTGCAAACTTCACCTTTTCCATGCATTCGTATGTACTACACATATGTTGGCTTTTACTTGGCAGCCACTATTTGTAAATGGGCTCATAGGAAGGTGATAGATTAGAGACCCTTTTCTTTTCCTTTTTTGATGGCTTTCCAGAATTTGCACTCAACTTCTATTGACTTGTACACATCTAGTATTTCTTCAAGCTTTTTAGTACAATTGTATGAATAATCCTTTGAATATTATGTCTTTGATTCATATAGGTCTTGGGAGTCTAGTGGGATGGGTCCCGTGGCATTATTATTTGAGTAACATTGAACTTGTAAACTTTATGGCTAGTCTTGGGTGGAGCTTAAGGTAAGATCTGTCATCCAATCATCAGGAATATCAATTTTAGGTATCTAAGGCTCTCCTAATACAAAAAACTAGTTAGGAATAGGACTGAAGGAGGTGTACTTTAATTTTGGATCATCTCCTGGATTATTGAGTTCATGTAAAAAAATCCTTAAACCCTCCATAGGCCAATTAGTAGAGATGCCCTAGCAGTGAGCTTGATTTTCTATGTAGACTTGACCATTCCTATCAAGATGGTAAAGTCGGTGAACCGCAAAAAAGAAAAAACTTTTTGTTTTTCAGTGGAACGAACTTTCCATAGATTATGACTTTCAATTACTTGGTAGAGTTCTTTTCTTCACTAGGGTATGGGTGAAAAACATTCAAGAAAGGTCCAAAAAGAGGAGCCCTCATTTCTTAAGCCAAACAAGTAGTGATAAATTTTGAAGAGGTTGAAGAGCAAGAGCAAAGGCATAAAGAGAAGAGAGTGCCTAAATATACCATATTAGTTCATTTAAAATAGGACCTTAGATAAATTTTTTAAAAGATAAGGCTTATTTGTATGTGGCATGATAGTGCTTTTCTGAATCATTAAATTCTCCACTAGCATGCCCATAGTACTATCTTTCCATTTCTTCTTTAATAAGTACAACTCCTAAGAACCCTTGCATAAATTTGTAGATTCTTTGTTCCTTGTCTAGAAACTACAGTGGTGGTGAATGTTGGGTAATTTTCTTCAAGCAATGAACTTGCGTTTGATCTTTACTTCAAGGCGATGGATTATTTTTTAGAAATTTTGACAATTGGCTAGTGTAATTAGCCACGTCTTTAATGAAATCTTGGATATAATTAATTAACCCAATAATTATTAAATATGCCTTGTTGTCAAATTCTTATCAAGAAAATTTAGCAATTCAGATGATATATATAGGTTAGGTTGGTATTGGCCTTCCTAAAAAACTATACGTAAAAATTCAATATTGTTATTGTCATTTAGTAAGTGATTTTGGGTGTGGTTTTTCAAGAAGTCTAGTATCAACTCAACCCACTTATAGCCTCTAAATTGCTCAATTTTTCTGATGAGAACTTGACAACCAGGCAGGTTCAACAATACTTGGGTATTGTGGGCAATTGTCAAAACTAGCTAA